TACCGTCGTTATAGGGAACAACAAGGGGATCAGGCACCGATCCGGGAATCAGACTAGGTTGATTAACGCGATGAGGTCCCACCAACCTGGCAGGAGTGTCTCCGTTTGATGCCATTTGTATGTGACCATCTGGATGTTCAAAATTTCCCCTCGACCAATCACCTCTATCTAACGGCGGTTGCGTTGAATTCATTTGTTGCTCACCTGTGAGATGAAACTGCATCAAAAAATTTGTCTTTATATTAGAAAACATCATTAATATTTAAATTTACATAAATATGTATATAAATATATATATATATATAATAATATATAAAATTATTTTTTACATTAAAAAATAAAAAATTTACCTTCTTTTTTATTAGCTTCTGCAATTTGAAGTGGATCCCTTGGATTTTTATGAAGGAATGGGCAATGAGGTTTACGACACCCACCAGGTTGATTTTCCCAAAAGCAAGGAATCGTTTTACGATTTTTTTTTAAGTCCATGTGCCTTAAACTGCAAAACCAATTGTCACATTTTCTTTGTTGCCAATATGGGCATACAGTTTCACAGCCAAGGGCTGATGGCTCATGTCGAAAAATACACTGATCTCCCTAAAAAAAAAAAAAAAAAAATTTCAACATACAATTTGTTAGATATCATGATTATGATGTATAACTTAAACATGATTTAAAATTTTAAAAAATAATTTTTTAATTGTAATGAATAATTTAAAACAATTTCAAGATTTTTTTTTTGTAAAAATAATAAATTTGAATAATCATTCAAAGGGAATGAATTGGCCACCTCATTGAGATTGAGAGACTAAATGACAATTAATCAATTCGTTAATTAAAAAAAAAAAAAACAAATAAAAGAAAAAATTTTAATTAATTTTTAATTATAATTTGTTGTATTTAATAAAATACAAATAAGCCGAAACGTAAATTTTTACTAAAAAATATAATAAAAAATATTGTACGAGAAATGAATACTGGGATGATCTTTTTTTTTTTTTTTTTTTTTCCTTCTCTTCTTTTTTTATAAAAATTATTTAAAGAAACTTACTTTAGTGCAAGTGGAATAATAATAAAAGTAACAATCCTGATTCCTACGCTCCATGTTATTTTCTTAATAATTCCACAACTAATACACACCTAAAATTAATTAAAAATTTAATGCAACAATGTGATTATCGGAATAGCATTCTGCATCTAGAAAAAATGGCGTCCGAATTATAATTTTTTTATACAACTTTTACAGATTTTACAAAAAAAAATTTTTATGTTTAAAACGAAAAATAAAACAAAACATCGTTCGGTTTTAAATAAATTTTAAAAAACGACCAATAACGATTAATAAACGTTATTAATTTATATTAATTTTAATTACTGACCTGCACATAGGTGTATTTTTTCGATTTTTTTTTTTTTTTTTCTAAAAATATCAATTATATGAAAATTTACACAGACATAAATTAAAAAAAAAAAACTAGATGACGATGTCGGAATATTCGCTGACTTGTGCGCATTCAAGTTTTTGTATATAAAAATCAGCAACTGGTGTTACGTCTATGGTCAATTATTCAAAAAAATAAATTTTTTTTTTCTTTCTTTTTCATGAATGATGTTAAATTTTCGTATCATTTTATTTATTTATTAATGTAATTCTTTTAAAAAAAATAAATTTGTTTAAATGGTATTAAAAATAATATAAAATATTAAAAAAATTTTATAATGTAACGTTCAATTATTCGGCAATTAGGAACAAAGTGTCAATAGAATATTAATTATCGAATATTTACGCTCGACATTTTTAACAGTATTTTATGTAATTAACGATCTAAATTTTAACTTCAAATTAATTATTAATTCTAATTAAATTCATTTAATCAAACTTACCTTACATTTTAATAATAATATTTTAACGTACTTTTTATCATAAAAATTAAGTGTGCTGGAGTTTTCAATTTGCAAATAGAAAAACGAACCATTTTAAATTCATAATATAAAAAAATTACATTAAATTTTATATTAATAAATAAATAATGTATTATTTAAGACCTAAGTTATTATGTACAGAAGTTAAATTTTAATTTACAAATACGAATGATAGGGAAAATCTTAAATTTTATTTAATAATTTGTTGTTTAAATAGTAATAGAGATAATGCTTCTTTAATGGGTGCT